CAGCCATACTCTTTTTCTTTTTTAAATGTTTGTTTATCATCGAGAGAGAGAGAGAGAGAGAGAGCGAGCATGATCATGGGAGAGGCAAAGAGAAGGGGAGACACAGAATCCGAAGCAGCCTCCGGGCTCTGGGCTGTCAGCCCAGAGCCCGACGCGGGGCTTGAACTCACGAACTGTGAGATCATGACCTGAGCCGAAGTCAGACGCCACCCAGGCGCCCCCCCAGCCACACTCTTTTATTACCCTGTCTGGGCTGTCAGACTGGCTTTCCCTGAGTATTTTAGAAATTAGGACACATGTATATTCTTAAGTCATTTAGAGTAACTACTGTTTCTAAACAACAGAGACTTTAAGTGACTTGCAGACCCTGCATGAAAATACATAAGCTAAAAAAACACCAACACATACATAAGCTGTTTTTTTTTTTTTTAAGTCAGGTATTAGTTCCTTATATCCTCTTTTAAGAATACACAAAAGTTGTAAACCACGAATCTCTTCTTCTCGTGAAATGTAAATCATTGCATGGTGTTGTCAGATCTTAGACCCTCTGAAAGGCATTTGCTAGAGAGTTGTCCAAAATTGCAGAGTTCTGGAGGGACTTAAGTGCCTTGCTGGGGAGTATGGATTGGATCTAGTAAAGAATTGACAAAACATCTCAGCAAGAGAACACATACTCCTAAAACCGGGTCCTAAAAGGAGATTCTACCATCTTTGGGGCCCCTGGGTGGCTCAGTTGGTTAAGCATCTGACTCTTGATTGAGCTCAGGTCATGATCTCATGGTTCATGAGTTCGAGCCCCACATTGTGCTCTGTGCTGGCAGCACGGAGCCAGCTTGGGATTTCTCTCCCCTCTCTCTCTCTCTCTGCCCCTCCCCACTTGTGCTCTCTCTCTGTCTCAAAATAAATAAATGAATTTTAAAAAAAAGAGAGAGATTCTACCATCTTTGTCCAGCTGTATGTATGTCATGAATAGGATAATCATGTTCATCAGGAAAGGATGCATATCTTTATATTTAAAAAGTCATTATTATCTCTCTACTTAGCAAACTCCCCCAGCACCTTTAGGGTACTTAGAACCTATGAAAATGTAATGTGTACATGTGTCAGGGCCATGTATTATGTAATTACCCAGGAGGTGCAATAGGCTTTATGTAGACAGGTTGTTGCAGTGCTCAAATTCATTGTGATGGTATCTTTCTGGGGGTGGGGGGTAATTTAAAACACATTTTCCCATTTAAGAAGGTCAAATTGTTTGTAGGGGAAAATATCCTTTACCTTTTATAAGCTGCTTATACTCATAACACAGATGAACTTCCCAGCACATAAAGGGAATACTAGAAAACCCTGGCATGATTAAATATGCCCCCGGAGGATTAAGTTTTTCCACATATTTTTGAAGCCAGGCCTATGAATAATGTTTCAGCATTTAACTTGCTGCACATCCTGATTATGGGGGAGGCTTTCACTCCTGCTGCTCTTGCTGTTCATTTTTCTGCTATTCAGATTTGTAGCACTGCAAAATTACCCGTGGAAACATGGGCTTGAAATCGGAAAGATTAGGGGCACCTGGGTGGCTTAGTCGGTTAAGCGTCCGACTTTCGCTTAGGTCATGATCTCGTGGTTCGTGGGTTCGAGCCCCGCATCGGGCTCTGTGCTGACTGCCAGCTCAGAGCCTGGAGCCTGTTTCAGAGTCTGTGACTCCCTCTCTCTCTGACCCTCCCCTGCTCACGCTGTCTCTCTCTCTCTCTCTCCTAGAAATAAAATTTAAAAAAATGAAATCGGAAAGATTAATTAAGGCCCAACATAGTATCATCTCTGGAATCATTCCAGTTTTTTTTCCAAAGTTTTTGTCCATTTTTCAAACCTGTTTCTTCATCTTTTTAAAAGAACTTTTAAATGTTTTTATTTATTTTTGAGAGAGAGACAGAGCATGAGTGGGGGAGGAACAGAGAGAGAGGGAGACACAGAGTCTGAAGCAGGTCCCAGGCTCTGAGCTGTCAACATAGAGCTTGACGCAGGGCTCAAACTCATGAACCATGAGATCATGACCTGAGCTGAAGTCAGACACTTAACTGACTGAGCCACCCAGGTGCCCCAGTTTCTTCTTTCACCTTACTGCAAACCTGGCCCAAGGTAGCTCATTGGTTCAGAAATAAGTGATCACTAAGCACACAGTATTTATCATTTTGAAAAAGATTGCTTAATTTTCATGCATATTTTCCCTAAGATAAAATTCTGGTTTGTAAAGAATCCCTTTATTACTGAGGGGTTCAGTTACTAAGTGCCTTTTCATCCAGGCATTGGGTGGTCTGATTAATTTACTGGGCTAATCCACCAAAGGCTTTGCTGTGTGTGCCTTGAGGCATCCTGGTCACCCTTTGCTCCTCCAGGGTCCCGGCGTACCTCTTCCCTCCAGCCCGCAGGTCTTACCTTACCTTCCTTGGCTCTTCCCATTGGGACTCAGCAGTCCCTTGATTTCCATGACCTCTGTGGCACCTTTACCCTGTCCCCAAGCTTAGCTAGGTCCTTAACCACATTTTCCCCAAAACTTCTATTTTTCTCTCCTGAGCAGGGACCTCTGCCTCCTTTCCCACATTCCCCACGCAGCTGTGCCAGAGCATCACCACCCTCCTCAAGCTCCATGGTCCACGTTGTCCCCTTCTCTGGTGGCGGATGACCTTGCTGCCTACTGCCACCCTCCAGAACTTCTCAGCCCCCAGCTCCCTAGTCTCCTAACTTACCACTGCAGCTGCTTTGCTTCCTGTGGCTGAAGGAGGGCTCCCCTCCTTACTCCAGCTCCATCAGGGCTTTAGAGGAGTTCTTCTTCTTCTGAAACCTTTCTCCAGCATTAGGGGGAAAATAGAGATTTTAATATTATTTAAAAATAATACATGCCCCTGGTTTTAAAAATTCAAGTAGCATAAAAGCATTTACAGAGGCGACTACTTGACGCCAGTCACGTGTGTGTATTCTTCCAGAGATCTTATATACACGATCAAGCGTACACACAGGTCACATTTCCCTTTCTTCCTCTTTCCTCCTCTACCTTTATTTTAAAAACGTTAATACTAGACACTTGGTCTGTACATTGCTTTTAATATATCCGTATGTCTGGGAAATAAGTTTATATCAATACTGTGAAGCTACCGCATCCTTTTAATGGATCTAGACTGTGCCCTTGATTGTAAATGCACCATAATTTTGTTAATCAGTGCCCTGTTAAAGTGTCATTGCTTCTCATCTTTTGTGGCCGCCATGTTTCAATGAGCATCGTTCAATGTCGATTCTTTTTTGCCCCTGGACAACTATGTCTGTGTGAAAGGGCTTTGAAGTGGAATTGCTGGATCAAAGGTTTATACATTTTTATTTCCGAATGGAGGAATTTGGAAATTTATTTATTTATTTATTATTTGTTTGTTTGTGAATGACGACTTTGTTCATAACCGCCAACGCTTAGGAGCAAACCAACCTTTCAGTGGGTAAATGGATAAACTGTGGCACATACAAAAACAGGGTATTACTTATCACTAAAAAAAAAAAAAATGAGCTACTGAGCCATGAAAACACATGGCAGAACCTTAAACGCATATGACTAAGTGAAAGAAGCCCGTCTGAAAAGGCTGCATACTGTATGATGGTCCGGAAAAGGCACAGTTATGGAGACAGTAAAAGTGTCAGTGGTAGTCAGGGTGGGGTGGGTGGGAGATACCTGGATGGAGCACAGGGGATTTTTAGGGCAGTGAAAATACAGTGACGGATGTACATTTGTTCTTTTTTTTTTTTTTCTTCTGGTTTTCTATTTCCGGTGTTACTGCTTCTCCAGCCTTTCTCTTCATGTGTAATTCATTTCTTGGATTTCTCTTCAGTGTCTGCTGTCTTTTTGATGCGTTCATCTCTTCATTTCTTCTGAGTTTGGAGAGACTTTCTGAGACATTCTGCCTTATTGTTTCTAATTTTCACAATTCCTGTGATCTTTGAATTTTTAAATATGATAATCATCATTATTATTTTTTTCTAAGAACTCAGAATCTATAAATGTAATCATACTGCTTCTCTTCTTTTGTTTAACATTATGTTTGTGAGAGTTATCTATGTTGTTAGGTAGATATAATTTGTTTTCATTGCCAAGTAGTATTCCATTGCATAAATATACCAGTTTGTTCATTCATTCTACTGTTGATGGACATTTGAATAGTATCTAGTTTGAACTGTCATGAATGGTGCTAGTATAGACACTTTGGGTCTTCTGATGCCCAATTGCATACGTTTTGTTACTGGGACATATTTCTAGGAATATAATTGCTTGATCAGAGGACATGTAAGTGTTAAGACTCCAAAGTAGCTCTCAGTTTGCATTCCCATGACAATCCAGGTTTTTCCACCTTCTTGCCAGAACTGGGTAACTTCTTTCTAATTTTAGCCATTTTAGTGGGTTAAAGCAGGATTTCATTATGGTTTTAGTTTTCATTTCCCTAATCACTTGTGATGTTGAGCAACTTTTCATATGTTTATTGGCCATTTGGATATCTTCTGTTGTGACATGCCTGGTGAAATTTATTTTGACCTTTTAAACTATTCTGCTTTTTAAAAACATGGCTAGCCCATAGATCACATTTCCCATCCATTTGTCCCTCTTTGCCTTTATCCTTTTTATTATTTTTCTTGACTCTTCTCTGGCCTATAATTTTTTTTTACTAACAAGTGATCTTTAGAATCAGGTAACCATAGCTTTTCTAGAATTTGTACTGAATTTGCATGAGTGTTAAATTTTATTTGAGAAAAATTGTGTCTGACTTGGAAGACGATATTGTCATTCTTTCTGAGAAGGGAAAAATGATACATTATAGCCCTCCCGATTTTCGCCCACCCCATTGCAGTATTATCTTCATATTTGACTCTAGTTTTAGTTTCATTTTTGATAGGTGCTTGTAGAAGTGAAAATTTTAGGATATGCTTTTTAAACCTACAACCCCCTTTTAACAAAAATTAATGTTTTACAGGTTCTTGATCAGTATGAACGAGAAGGATTTAATTTCCTGGCAAAGGTGTTTAATTCTTCACATTCCTTCTTAGAAGACTTGACCGGTCTCACATTGCTGCATCAAGAGACCCAGGCTGCTGAGGTAAGAATGAAGCAAGCTTTCTGTACTGAGGACTCATGTGTCTGAAACCTATTTGATACTCAGATTTATGGAAAAGTAAGGAAGCGGTTAATTATGACTTTTTCCCCTTAGAACAAACATCATTAAATAAGTCTGCTAATTATCAGAGAAGAAAGGAACTTCTGCAATTGCTGGATGCTCATGTGTGCAGATTGTTGTTTAGTAGGTGTACATTGTATGTAATTAAAGGGAGTATAGGTTATTGATTTCCAAGCACTTCTAGTCCTTTCTGAAGAACAGTATGTGTGTAGCCATTGGAGAGTTGGCTCTAATGTCCACACATCAGAATGTATGACAGGGAAGACTGGGCTCCGGCCATGTTCTGAGAGAATATGCCTGGCTTTTATTTCATGATTGGATACATCTTCTTAGGCCACTGAACCCTCCCACAAATGGCTTCTCCAGTCACAACCTGAGATAGTTAGGCTTTGCTTGTCAATTAGAATATATTGCATATGTTAATTTCCTGGGAAGAAGTTATTGAGAAAATACGTGGCCTGTCTTAGCATTTCCACATGCCACATAAGGAAAACCTTGCGTGCCTGTATCCTGCGGGAGTGGAATGCTTGTGAAGAGACCTTGAGTCCTATCGTCCTGTTTATTGACGACCACCCCATTCCCACCCCTGCCCGGGGTTGCGTGTCTTCACCGTTGGGGCAGGCCCAGTGGTCAGTGAGTAGACATTGAGGCCCAATACTGGACTCACTGGTGGCAAACTAAGCCTGCTGTTTGGAAGATTGGAGCTAACCTGGAGTAAAGGGTGGAACTACCAGAATCAAATCCTTGGAAGCTTTGAGCAGATTGAGGCAAGAGATTTAGGTGCACCAGGCAGGCAACAGAGCACATCTCTAGTACTACTTTTAAAACTGAAATCAGTCCTGGGGTGCCTGGTTGGCTTAGTCGGAAGAGCATGTGACTCCTGATCTGGGAGTTACGAGTCTGGGCACTACGTGGGGTGTAGAGATTATTTAAGTAAATAAAACTTTAAAAAGAAACTGAAACCAGTGCTTCTTTAACTTGCCTTTGTTTACTCTGGGCAGTCGGTAGATAGAATATTCAACTTACAACCAACTTTGCTGAACTTTAAGAGAATTTGAGATTTTCCCCAGAACTGTGACTGGTTCCCAGACAGAGTTCAGAACACTGTGTCGGTCATGGCCACTGTATTATGCCTTTGAGCAGCCCTGTACTGCCTGATGATAAGGTGAAAATAACTTACAGGTCTTTTCTACCATGCAAGTGTTTGATTAATTGGCTGGGGGAATATTTCTCCCCAGGTAAGAACAATTCATATACTTCTCTTCTGTTGGCTAGATGCATTGCAACTTGAAATTGATCCCAAACCTCACCCTTTAAAACAGAGCAGATGCTAGGATAATGGGCAGATTCCTTGATGAAATCTGGCTTCTTTGGCATTTCAGTTGCATTAATAGCCTTTCCAAAGACCCAGGAAGAGAAGGGGAAGTTTAAGAGAGCATTAGTGAGTAAATAGACGGTGGGGTAGGAGAGAACATGGTTTCATCCACAAGCCTGAGATTTCTTTCTGAAATTTCCTACATTAAATTTTATCAATACGTTTGGAATCATAAGCCACACGTCAAATTTTTGATTAGAGATGGCAGACTGTTTGGTCTGTGAACCAGATATGGCTTGCAGGTATGTTTTGTTGGCTTGCCCTGTATGTTAAATTCTGAATAAAGTCAGCATTTAAACCTTAAGAGTTTTACATAAAAATCTGAATTCTCCCATTTCTAGCTTCTTTGAAAAATAAGATCCGGCAGGCTAAGGCCTGCATTTCTTACTAGTGATGGTCAGCTGGAACCAGGATGAAAATTTTATAGATGAATAATACACTTTTTATGAAATTTAAAGATATAAAAAATATTCTGCATGAAAAGGAAATCTTCCACACTTGTCCCTTACCACCCAGTTCCCTTCCTAGAGACAAACACTGTTGTTGGTGTTTGGCCAAAGATATTTTCTCCGTGATATTCTCCATTTAAATGATGCTCTTGAGCTAATGACCCTTCCAGGTATTGGAATTTGGAATCCTTCTTAGAGAAGGATGGTTCTTTCTCTTAACAAGCTCGAAATAGGGCTGTGGCTCTTTTAAATTAAAAACATTTTTATTATTTCATTTTATTTTTCATCATAATAAGCATACTCGATCACCCCCATGCTCTATCTCTATTTCTCCCATGCCCCCAGCCACCTCCCCTCTGGTAACCGTCACTTCTCTATAGTCTGTTTCCTGGTTTGTCTCTCTCTCTCTCTCCTTTGTTTTTGTTTCGTTTCTTAAATCCCTCATATGAGCGAGATCATATGGTATTTGTCTTTTCTGCTTGACTGACTTCACTTCCCATTATACTTTCTCGGTCTATCCATATTGTTACAAATGGTAAGATGTCATTCTTTCATGGCTGAATGCTATTCCACTGTATATATACCACATCTTTATCCGTCCATCTGTCAGTGGGCGCTTGGGCTGCTTCCATAGTTTGGCTCTTAGAAATAATGATGCAGTAACATAGGGGTGCATATATCCCTTTCAATGAGTGCTTTTGAAATTTTGGGGTAAATAACCAGTAGTGCAATTAATGGATTGTAGGGTAGTTCTGTTTTTAATATTTTGAAGAACCTCCGTATACTGTTTTCCACAGTAGCTGCACCAGTTTGCATTCCCACCAACAGTGCACAAGAGTTCTTTTTTTCTCCACATCCTCACCAGCACTTGTTGTCTCTTATGTTTTTGATTTTCACCATTCTGACAGATGTGAGGTGACATCTCATCGCGTATTGATTTGCATCTCCCTGATGATGAGTGACGTTGAACACGTTTTCATGTGTCTATTGACCATCTCGGTGTCGTCTTTGGAGAAATACCTCTTCATATCTTCTGCCCATTTTTTAATTGGATTATTTGTTTTTTGGGGGTATTAAGTTGTATCACTTCTTTATATATTTTGGATACTAACCCTTTACTGAATATGTCATTGGCAAATACCTTCTGCCATTCATTAGGTTGTCTTTTAATTTTGTAGATTGTTTCCTTCGCTATGCAGTAGCTTTTTATTTTGATGCAGTCCCAATAGTTTATTTTTGCTTTTATTTCCTTTGCCCCAAGAGACAGACCTAGAAAACTGTTGCTACATCCCATCTTGGAGAGATTAATGCCTATGCTCTACTCAAGAATTTTTATGTTTCAGGTCTCATATTTCTATAATCCATTTTGAGTTTATTCTTGCGCTATGATGAAAGAGAGTGGTCTAGTTTCATTCTTTTGCATGTAGCTATCCAGTTTTCCCAGCACTTGAAGAGACTGTATTTTCCCTATTGCATATTCTTGCCTCCTTTGTCAAAGCTCAGTTGACCATATAGTGTTTTTTTTTCCTGGGGTTTATATTCTATTTAATTGATCTGCATGTCTATTTTATGCCATACTGTTTTAATTACTACCACTTTGAAATAGAACTTGAAATATAGAATTGTAATACCTCCAGTTTTGCTTTGCTTTTCAAGATTGCTTTGGCTATTTGAGGTCTTTTGTGGTTCCATACAAATTTTATTCATTCATTCATTCATTCATTCATTCATTCATAGTTTATTGTCAAGTTGGTTTCCATATAACACCCAGTGCTCATCCCAACATGTGCCCTCCTCCATGCCCATCACCCCTATTCTCCTCTCCTCCACCCCCATCAACCCTTGGTTTGTTCTTGGTATTTAAGAGTCTCTTATGATTTGCCTCCCTTCCTCTCCTTAACTATTTTTCTCCCTTCCCTCCCCCATGCTCCTCTGTTAAGTTTCTCCTGTTCCACATATGAGTGAAAACATATGGTATCTGTCCTTCTCTGCCTGAATTATTTCACTCAGCATAACCCCCTCGACTTCCATCCATGTTGCTACAAATGGCCAGATTTCATTCTTTCTCATTGCCATGTAGTATTCCATTTTATAGATAAACCACATCTTCTTGATCCATTCATCCGTTGATGCACATTTAGGCTCTTTCCATGATTTGGCTATTGTTGAGAGTACTGCTATGAACATTGGGGTCCATGTGCCCCTATGCATCAGCACTCCTGTATCCCTTGGGTAAATCCCTAGCAGTGCTATTGCTGGGTCGTAGGGGAGTTCTATTTTTCATTTTTTGAGGAATCTCCACACTGTTTTCCAGAGGGGCTGCACCAGCTTACATTCCCACCAGCGGTGTAGGAGGGTGCCCATTTTTCCACATCCTCGCCAGCATCTAGAGTCTCCTGATTTGTTCATTTTAGCCACTCTGACTGGCATGAGGTGGTATCTCAGTGGGTTTTGATCTGTGTTTCCTTGATGATGAGGGATGCTGAACATCATTTCACGTGTCTGTTGGCCATCTGGATGTCCTCTTTGGAGAAGTGTCTGTTCATATCTTCTGCCCATTTCTTCACTGGATTATTTGTTTTTTGGGTGTGGAGTTTGGTGAGTTCCTTATAGATTTTGGATACTAGCCCTTTGTCCTATATATCATTTGCAACTATCTTTTCCCATTCCGTAGATTGCCTATTATTAGTTTTGTTGATTGTTTCCTTTGTCGTGCAGGAGCTTTTTATCTTGATGAGGCCCCAAACGTTCATTTTTGCTCTTGATTCCCTTGCCTTTGGGGATGTGTCAAGTAAGAAATTGCTGCGGTTGAAGTCAAGAGGTCAAGGAGGTTGTTTCCAGCTTTTTCCTCTAGGGTTTTGATGGTTTCCTGTCTCACATTCAGTTCCTTCATCCATTTTCAATTTATTTTTGTGTCCATACAAATTTTAGGATCGTGTGGTCTAGTTCTGTGAAAAATGCTATTGGTATTTTGATAGGGATTGCACTAAATCTGTAGATTGCTTTGGATAGTAATGTAGACATTTTAACAATATTTGTTCTTCCAACCCATGAGCATGGAATATCTTTCCATTTCTGTGCAGCATCTTGAACTTCTT